ATCATCCATCCAAGAAACAATGATGAATGAGGCTCATTTTAATCAATGCAGCACTGTTTCATCTGGGTGGTCTCTGAGCATCAGGAGGGACCTGGATATCCCTCTAACCACCATCCCACGGGCAAGGACCTCTCCTAGGACCCTATTTTTTCAGTGGCTGCCAAGAATGTGCTGGATGCCTGCCTGAATCCTGGGGTGAAGCCCTTGAGGTTTTGTTCAAAATTTCAGTGGCTACAAACATCTACTTTACCTTATTCCTTTGCCCTGATGAAGTCCCACAATTTTTGGCCATTGTGAAGATTCCTCATTGTCTACATGTTTCTGTGATATGTCCATATTTGGGAGTCAAACATTACAGGAGTTTGTCATTAACCTGTGTACCAGGTTGTTTTTGTCTGGGAGTTACAAATGACTCTGTCATGTGTTAATACTTGAGCATTTGAAACACTTGAAAATACTTCAGAAACCAAAGGGGGGAACTACTTAATCCTTCAATGAAATGGTGATTTGCTGGAGGGTGACAGAGCCCCTTTCCCCAGGAGAAGCAAGAAACCACATCAAATCTGGGTAAAGCTGCCAGGCAGTGAGAAGTGTCATGTCCCTACAAGGCTTTACATTGTCACTGAGATCAGGTTTTGGGGGAATTGGGAGAAAAAAGCAGCTATGGCCATGGGGTGGCCAAAGGGAATTAGGGGATGGATGCAAAAGTCTTGGAGGGGAGAGCCCCGGGGAGGAGCTGGCTTTGCCTGCAGACCTCTGTGAGTGATGCCAAGTCCCAAGGGATGTGCCAAGGTTTTTGCTCATAGTTTAGCCCTCCACAGCTAAACCAGAGCATTGCCACAGCAGTGGTGTTTGCAGGAGGACCCTAGGAGGGGACAAGGTGGTGTGGAGGGAGAGTGGACACTGCACAGGTTGGGATCAATGTGATGGCTAAACCTGCTTGGCAGCACCTTCCTGCCAGCTGTGATATCAGCAGCGTTCCTGAGGCTGAAACAGAGGGAGCAAGGATGTGTGAGCACACAGGTGTGTGTGTGGGTATGCACTGTGCACAGTGCACAGCTGAGGGGTTGAGGGCATCACCACCATGGTGGGCTGAGGTCTGGAGGTGCTCAGGTGCTTGTGAGATGCTCCCAGGAAAGGCAATGCTCAGCACGTCCCTCCACATGCTCTCAATGGTCCTTTTGCCACCTCAGTGTGTTCAAAGACTGTGGGCAGGACGATTCCAGGCTGGAATCTGGCATCCTGTGTACAAAGAGCTTTGGTGGGATTTGTGTCCCTTGGAAAAAGAACTCAGGAATCACATCTGAAAATCAGAGAGGCTTTTCATTTTGCCAAGAATAAAGGGATGGTGGGGAGCAGCAACCCCTTTATTCTTCTGAGAATCCTCCTTTTGGGTCACCAGCAATCCCCGCCAGTGGTTCAACACCACCCCTGGTCTTACTTGCATTCCAGGGTAAAGGACAGCCCAACTCCACTAGCACAGGTGAACTGAGTGAGGAATAGATGAAAACAAAAATAACCCAATGTGGGAGAGAAAAAACTCATCCCCAGCCTGCTGATCCCACCAGTGCTGTTTCCTCATGGGATATATTCCAGCTACTGACTGTCACACTGGCTTGTCCCAAGTGTGGGTCAGCAAGCTGGGTGCTCACACATGATTTCCATTTACGTGCAGTGAAGGGATGGGATGTGGTTTTTGCCCTGGGGTTGGTGGTCATGAACATTCTGGGGCTTGGGGTTAAACGTGTAGAACATGACATAAGATATTTGGGTGACTGGGCCATTTAAGTGACGGTAGCCAGAGACTGTGTTGTGGTTCCTGCAGTGCGATGTTAGATTTTTTTTTCCCCGGGGTGCATTTGAGGCTGGCTTGCCGTCTACCTGTGCCTCTCAGGAAAGCTGGAGATCTGGAATATCATGCTGATAAGACGCTGGTGCACAGCGTTGGGAATGCTCACCCTTGCTGAGAACCCACCCAGGAATGGCTTCTGAGCTCTGAAGCCCCAGATTCCTGGGGACAGAGTCAGGGGAAGGATTCCTCCAATTCCCCAGGGGTTTCTGGGCAGCAAGGATGAAGCATAGCAGGAACCAAGAGCTCAGCAGTGGTTCTTTGGGCAACGTGGGATGGAAGGAGGTGCATGATGGGCAGGCACATGGTATGGAATGCAGTAAAATGTTTTTTTAATTAATATTACTACTCTTAGCATTGCAGGATTGGGTGTAATTAATGACTCACTATGTGCTAAAATACTTCATTAAATAATCTGTTCTGGGAAAGGCACCACTGGTCCTGCTCCCCGCTGCAGTGTGTGTGTATGTTCACATATGCACGTGTGTCTCTGTGTGTACATGTGCCCCCTCCTGGAGGCTGCAGGACGAGGCCTTTCATCTGGAAGCAGGGGGATGTTGGGAAGTGGAGAGGGTGGCAGGAGGCTGGGAAGGCTCTGGGCATGGCCCTGTCACCCAGTCCCCCCGGGACAGACCCTAAACTCGTTCTGCCACCCTGGTTGGGCATTACATGCCATCCCAGGGATGGCAGGGGTGAAGATGGGACACTGAGGGATTTGCACAGTGGGCACCCCTGTGACCCACCCTGGACCTGCCCCTGACTGAGTCCCTCCTCTCCTGCTGCTCTCAAGCAGTGCAGGGATGTGACCTTGGGGCCGAGGATGACCAAACTGGTTTGCCTAGCCTTCCTAAAAATCCTGCACAGGGCTGTAATTACCCTCACCTTTAAACAGAAGGGAGCCTGACACCGCAGGTATGGACACGGCTCCCGCAGGTGTCTGGCAGGGAATCACTTCTTGGGAGCAGGGCAGCACAGGCAGGATGGAACGTGAGGAACCAGGAATGGGGGAGAAGGGTGGAGCTCAGTGCCGCAGTCATGGTCCGATCGGGGAAAGAGCAGGCTCCTCCAGCCAGGAAACTGTTTCTTTTGGGAACATGGAGGATAAATTCCTCCCAAGTTAGGAGCTCGTACTCGGCAGAATCACTCAGGCTGTGCACAAGAATTACTTGCAAAACCTGACAGGAGTTAAACTGCTACACAACTGGAAGTCAATTTTGGAGGTGATCTCTGGTTGCAAAGGTGTGCAGGGGAGTGTGTGCATGGACAGGAATGGATGCAGGGGGTTTGTCTCCCCAGATCAAGGAGCAGGGTTAAGCATGTGAAATGCGACCCAGGCCACTAAGATGGAAGAAAAAGCAATTCTGAGGTTACAACGGGCAAAGATCCTCTGGAGAGGGCTGGGGAAGTTGCTGCTGGTGGCTGGGATGGAGAGAGGCTGTGATGCAGCAGCCAGGTAGGAGTTGCCACAAGCAGTAACGGGAACCAGAAAGCTCATGCTGTACCTACAGCCACCACCTGCATCCCCATGTGGTGATGTGTGTGGGAGATAGTCCTGAAATACGAGTTAGCTTGGCTCTCGAGACACTTCCCTTGGAAAGCAGAAGCCAAACACCCACCTACAGGAGTTCTGGTCCCCTAGCTGACACAAGCCTGAGACCCTGCTTCCAGCAGATTTTCCTGCGTGAAAGTCATTAAATACCAGGGATGTGAAGCTTGAAGTGCTCTTGGTAACGATGCTGGTGACTGCCTAGGCCAGGCAGCAGGTCAGGTGACACACAGGCTGATGTCAGCCTTTTTTGGGGCAGAAACAACACCTGGCTCGACACTGTGATTTCCCAGACATGCTGCACAAAGCAGTGTGTAAAAATGGTGAAAGCTGGGCAGGACATGGCATTACTCTGCTTCCCCTGGAAGAGGGAAGGGTGAGAACCTGCCCTGCTCTGTGGCAAGTCAGATGCAGCAAAGACCTGTAAGTCAGAGAGAGTATCAATTGCAAACATTCTCTGAACACACAGCTTGCTTCCCACCTCCAACACCCAACTGGCTTATTGTTTCCCCCAAACCTGCTTGTTTTTTCCAACAGCCCATGAGCAGTGGGATGATCTGGCTTAGGGGTCCTAGGTGGGAGATGGAGCTCAGCCTGCTTCACTGAAGCGTTCACTCAATTCCTATGTTTACTTTAAGGATGGATATGCTATCTTCTACCCTCTGTCTTAACATTCCTGCACATTTGCTCTTGAAGAGCAGGAAAAAAAAAGCTGAACTGCGTGTGGCCAGGGTTCAGGGAGAATTTGGACCCAGTGTGGAGATGACACACTCCAGGGATACTGTTCCAGAGCAGAGCCCCTCTAAAGGACAGTCCCACTGGAGTCACAACATCCCTGTTTCACGATAGTGTTTGGATAAGTGAATTAGACTGACTACAGTCAGGCAAAGAAACAGTTCTGGACACAGAACTAAAATTATCTGGGTCCTAGATCTGTGTCCTTCTGTTCAGGGACACACATGCAGCGGTGCTTTTAAATATCCTGACAACCCAAATACGATCAGGGTGGCCTGGGGTTCAGGCTTGCTTCTGTATATGCATGTATATGTGATATATACAAAGGAGATATTCCTCCCACTCCGATAATCCGCACGTAGGACGCTGCTGGCTCCCGGTGCCAGTTCCAGCTATCCAGGAGGATCTTGCTGGCTCTCGGAGCCCTTTCCAGCTATCCAGAACGACTTTCCTGGCTCCCAGTGCCCTTTCCAGCTATCCAGGACTTTCCTGGCTCCCGGTGGCCGCTCCTGCCGGCCAGGCCAGCTGGGGCTTTCGGCAGCTCACGGCCAGGATGATTAATCACCAAGTGCCACAAGACGGCTCCGCGCTCGCCCGCCTGAAGATGAACCCCCTCCGCGTCGCCGCGAGAGCCACAATTTTGGAGCGAAACTCGGCGATTTCAGCGCTCCCGCCGCCGCCGCGGCGGAAGCGAAGGGCGGAGACCCGCCCCCCTCCATGGGCGGGGCCGAGGGGGCGGGCACGCGGGCGGTGCGGCCAATAGAAAGCCTTCGCGGCGTCGCGCGGGGCCAATGGGGAGCGGGACTCGGCGGACGCCGGGGCGCGCGCGCCGCCGCACGTGGCGACGGGGACCCCACGTGGGCGGCGGCCATGGCGGTGAGGGGCGGCGGGGTCGGGAGGGGGGAGCGGGGAGCGGGGAGCGGGGAGTGGGGAGTGGGGAGCGGGCGGCGGGGCCGAGCGGAGCCGTGATGTGCTGTGTTCTCCCCACAGGGCTCTCCGGAGGCGGCGGAAGAGGCGGCGGCGCAGGGCCCGCAGCCCCCGGCGCGGGGCGGGAAGCGGGCGGCCCCCGCACCCGGGGACCCTCAGCCGGCCAAGCTGAGTCGCGCCGAGCTCTACAAGCCGCCGACCAGCGAGGAGCTGAGCCAGCTGAAGGAGACGGAGGATCTGTTCCACTCCAGCCTGCTCCGCCTGCAGGTCAGCCCGCGAGGGGGGGGCCGCGCTCTGCCTGTCTGAGGGGACTCCACCGGAACCCTGGACCCGGAGTTTCCCAGGAACCGCCTGGGGAAGAGGCCCCTGAGCCCTCCTGGCCTGCTCAATCCGGGCGGCGGCCGCTGCTCTGCAGCAGCTGCGCACGGGGCGGACACAGAGGGCACAGGCTTTCCCACTGTAGTTCCTGTTAACATCCCACGCCAGGATCTGTGCTTCTTTTACGGTGTTAAAACTGAGCTTCTCCGACACAGAGCTGCGGTTCGGTAAAAGCAGGACCATTGCGTCCCTTGTTGCGATCGTCTGTTTCTTACTGGGGTGAGGAGGTTACATGGTCAGCTGTACCCAGCTGCTGTCTTTAACCGGCTTCAGGATGGGACAGGACGATGTTTTTTATGTCCTGGGAGAGGAAGCCGTCTGTGTCTGGGGGAGATCAATTGTCGACTAGATCTTAGAATCATAGAAGAGTTTGGGTTGAAGGGATCTTAAAGATCATCTTGTTCCAACACCTTGCCATGGGCAGGGACACCTTCCACTAGACCAGGTTGATCAGAGCCCCACTCAGCCTGGCTTTGAACACTTCCAGGGATGCGGCATTCACACCTTCTCTGGGCAACCTGTGCCAGGGCCTCACAGGGAAGAATTTTTTCCTAATTTTTAATCTAAACCTACTCTCTTTCAGTTTAAAGTCATTTCCCCTTGTCCTATCTCTACATGCTCTTGTAAAAAGTCTCTTTCCAGCTTTCTTGTAGCCCTCTCATCCACCAGCACTCTCAAGTCCTTCTTGGCAGGACTGCTCTTGATCTGTTCATTCCCCAGCCTGGATTGATACCAGGGATTGCCTTGACCCAGGTGCAGCACCTTGCACTTGGCCTTGAAGCACATGAGATTCCCATGGGCCCACTTGAGCTTGTCCAGTTTCCTGTGAATGGCATCCCATCCTTCAGATGGTTGTAACATTGGTGATTTCTATGAGGAACAGCTTTGATCTCCTGGCTACTTGCTGGTGTTGGTGGCAGGATCTCTAGGGCCTAGTTTGTGGTGAGAACCTGCATGGTTGTTTCGTACTGATTCTCTTGTCATACAAGAAGCCTTCCTGACAGCTGTGCCTGTGTGAATTACATCGGGTTTTTTTGCCTGGTCCTTGGTGGGATAGTTAATTGCAATCCAGCACTTCACAGAAGATGGCAGGAGCTGATCGAGCTGCCAGCTCCAGGCAGGGTTTGTGGAGAAGTTTTGGTGTGTTCCCCAGCTCACCTGCTGCCCTCTGCACCAGGATCATGGTTGGTGCTGGAGGACAAGGTAAAGGGCAGGAGCAATTCCAGTGTTGCAGCTGCCTTTGAGGGTCCCCTTTCCCACTACAGATTGAAGAGCTTCTGAAGGAGGTGACATTGAAGGAGACAAAGAAGAAGAAGATTGATACCTTCCTCCATGAAATTAACAGCCTGCTGAGCGCCCTCCCAGAGACCACAGAAACTGAAGTATGTTCCAGAGGGATGGAGGAGGTGGCAAGACCCCTGTCCTGTATGGAGCAGGCTCTGCCGTTGCTGTGCAAGCAGAGATCCTCATGGACTGTCTCCCTTTGGGGCTGAAAAAATAATACTTTGCTTTATCTTAGAGGGGAAAGGGAGAAACTGTCTATAAGCCCTGGGTGCAGTGTCCTGCAGCTGTGTGGGGAGAGGGGTCTCGGTCCCTGTGCATCTGCTCTTGGTTGTGCTTAGAGCATTCCATGTGTCCCGTCTGTTCCCAGCTCACCGACCAGGCCTGGCTTTCCAAGGATGTGAAGGTCCCGTTCCTGCAGGTGCCATTCAGTGTGAAGGGGAGGTTTCACTTTGTGCCCCCAGCCGAGCTGAAGGTGGTGGGCAGTTACCTGCTGGGCACCTGCGTTAAGCCGGAGATCAATGTGGATGTGGCAGTGATCATGCCCCGGGTGAGTCTGGCTGTGCCAGCTCCTGAATGGCCTGGAGCCTGGCTGGGCCCTGTCCCCTCCTGTCCTCCATGACCCCTGCCCTGCCCTCTCCATTCCTCAGTGAGGTTACAGCATCTGGATGTGCAGTGTGGTGACTTCCACGAGGAGCTGGGGGGTGCAGTCTGACCACTTGTTCTTTCGGGGCCTGTGGGGCCAGGGAGAGGTATGGGTGGTGTGGTGCCTCAGGCTGAACTGGGCTCTGCAGGCAGGTGAGGTGGGATTGCCCCATCCTTCTCTTCCCAGGAAATATTCCAGGACAAAGATAATCTGAATCAACGCTACCACCGGAAGAGAGCTCTGTACCTGTCCCACATCGCCCAGCATTTCTCCAAGGAGAAGCTCTTTGGCAGTGTGAAGTTTGCCTACATGAACAGCAACCATCTGAAACCCATCCTGCTCGTCAGGCCTCAAGGTAGCACTTGAGCTTTGCTCTCGTGGGGGGTGTGAGTTGGGTACTGGTGTTGGGTGGAGGGTGGTAGTCTCATGCCACATAAGAGGCCCTGTGGAGGGGGATCACTCTGGGGCTGCTGTCATGATTGGTGATAGATTTTGGATGGTTCCCAATTGTTTTCTCCCTTCACCCAGCGCCTGGACCTCAAGGTCTTCTTCCCCTGCCAGTCCCTCTGCATCTTGGCTGGGCTGCCCAGCTTTGCTGGCTGGCCCACCCTGTGGGTACTTCAAGGAGTAAAAAAAGTAGATCCTGCAAAACACATGTCTATGTCTAGCTCTGTCCTTTCTTCCCCATCCCTGCTCCCCACCATCCTCCCGCCTTCCCCAGGGACCTGTGTGCAGCCTGGCTCTTCCCTGATGGGATGATATGGGATGTTTCCACAGCCCCCAGGAGACAGTGAGTTAGGGTGTGGGACAGATGTGGCGTGGGGAGACCAGGGCAGGCAGGAGAATGCTGGAATACCAAGCTGGCCAGTGGGGAGGAAGATAGGATTTGGACAGAAGCAGTGTGACCTCAGGGTTATTGGCCCTGGGATGTGGTCACTCTCTGCTCGGAGATGATTTCCGCTGCTGCGGAAGGAGCTTTTTACTTGCCCCAGGCTGGGGGTGCTCAGTGTGTTCTCAAGTTAGTCTCTGACATCTCTTCCTCCTGCTAACCTACCCTCCGGTGCTTACAGGCAAGGATGAGAAGATGGTCACTGTCCGACTCCATGCCTGTCCTGATGCGGGTCTCTTCAAACCCAGCCGCTTCCATCCCAGCAAGAACAACGTCCGCACCGCCTGGTTCATGGAGCAGAGCACCCCCAAAGAAGGTAGGGCCCGGCGCTGGGGGAGAATGGGGCTGTTTGCCTCAGGCAGAGACTGCACCCGGTGCCTACAGGTGGGTTCACCGCAGCCCTTGTGTGCGAGCAGGAGGTTCGTGATTGTGTCCAACGTGCTGTCATCTCCCCATACAGGAGCCCCCGAGCCCCCGACCCCCCACTACAACAACTCCATCCTCTGTGACACAGTGATGCTCTCCCACCTGCAGTTCTTGTCTAATGCAGCCACTGACTTCCCAGGCATGAAGGATGGCCTGGCCCTCCTCAAAGTTTGGCTCAACCAGCGGCAGCTCAGCAAGGTATGTCCTGTACCAAGGTGGGCTCTGCTTACTTGGCTAACTTGCCATTGCCCTGCTCTTCTTCCTAGGGTGAAAAGGTGGTGGTTTGGTCCTGATGGATGGGGTGGTGGGCTTGTGGCTCTGCTTTGAGCTGTGTTAGGTTTCATAGAGCTCCATCCTAACCTGTGGGTTGCATTGAGTTTGTGGTACCAGACAATCGTGCTTCTTTGAGATCTGTGGAATAATACAATGGGGTTTTAGATTGTGGGGTTTTTTTGTAATTCATCCCATTTCCCAAGAACTTTGAGGTGTTGCCTTCCTGTAAGGGGATCCATATTTTCATTGTACAGTGCTTTGCCTCAATGTCTTCCTGGCAGGGCTGGGGCTTAGGGCCTATTCCGCTGGTGATGACAGAGGCCAGAAGCTGTGATGTAGGTGGCCTCTGGGCTCTCTCATGGTGCCTTGTTGAGCTCTTGTTGACTCAGTCTTCTGTTTTCACAGGGCCTGGGGTGCTTCAGTGGCTTCTTGGTCTCCATGCTGGTTGCCTACCTGCTGATAAAACGCAAGATCGTCAAGATGATGAGTGGGTACCAGGTGTTGAGGAGCACTCTGCAATTCCTGGGTGAGTTTCCAGGGGGCCTCTCTGAGCAAGGAAAGCCTGGTGTCAGCAGAGTCTCTGCACAAAGCCTGAACACAGTGGGGGAAGAGGCAATTGTGGCTTTTCTCTCTCTAATGCTGAGACCCTGCGGGTGGGATGGACAGGACGGAATAAGTCAGCAGGTTGGGGCGGGATGGTACAGTTTGCAGAGGGGTGGGTAGGTCCCATCACAAGGCGGATTCTGGCATTGCATTGTAGCACTGTTAATGTTCTGAGACCATGGAAGTACTGGCACATAACTGTGCCACTGTCACCAGTGGGGGAGATGTGGGTGGTGGTGTGACTTGTTCCTTCCTGTCTGCCCACAGCCACCACTGACTTGAGTGTGACAGGGATCAGTCTAGCAAAGGATGCGGATCCCTCCCTGGTAAGTGACCCTCTGTGGAGGGTCTCCTGCCTGTGCCTGACTGTACTGCCAGTGCTCTTTGGGCAGGGACATGCCTGTCACAGGGATGTCAGGCAGCAGCAGTGTTGGGGTGTCTTGGTGTCTGTGCTGTGCTGTACCACTAAGGACCATTTTGCTCTTCTAGCCTGCCCTGGATGACTTCCACCAGGCATTTGAAGTGGTCTTTGTGGATCCCTCTGGGCTGGTGAACCTCTGTGCTGATATGACTGCCAGCAAATACCACCAGGTACTGAGCGGGTTGTGGTGGCACCCTGAGATGCTGTCTTAGGAGTGAGCTGAAGCAGGCAGAGAGTGGTTAGATGTCCTGGAGGAGGACAGAGGACCTGAGGAGGGGATTCAGTGTTGCTTTTGAAGCTTTTAACATCTCCAGCTCTGAAGCTTGGAAGTGAATTTTAAGACTTAGATGTAGTGCTGCCTTATCTGTCTTGCTTGAATGATGGAGGAAAGTTGTTTTCCTCTTTGTGGGCGCCTTTGGGTGAAGCCAAGCAGCTGTTTAGCGGATGTAACTTTTTTGGAGGAGGAAAAACCACCTTGATGTCAGGGGTATCAGGAAAGGACTGTCTGGTCAGCAGGGAGAGCTCTTGGTCACTTGGCTTCATGCTGAGGACAGAGGCTGTCTGGGATCAGGGTGTGCTGGTGACCATGGAACCAGGGTGGCCATGGTTGATGGAGGAGCAATGGTGATCACTGCTGGAGGGATTTGCTTCACTTTTCCTTTCCCCTTCATACTCTTGCACTGTCTTGTCTCCTTGCTTAGGTCCAGTTTGAAGCCAAGTGCTCCATGGAAATTTTGGATGACCGGATGGTGGATGGCTTTCAGGCACTGCTCATGACTCCAAAGCCCATGGTCAGAGCCTTTGACCACATCTTCCAGTGAGTCTTGCTGTGCTGGTGAGGTGATGCTGAGAGACCCTGTTCAGAGAGGAGTGGGCTGTTTCTGGCTTTGGACTGGGTTAGGTTTGAACCTACCTGGTGGGAGGTGGCCCTGCTAATCTCTGAGATAGACACTGGTGCCTCTTGCACTTGGCTGTTCTGCTTTTACTGTCTAGATAGCCTCCCAGGAAGGGGGGCAGTGCTTTAGCCTTTGGGAATGTTGACTGTCCCAAGGACCAGCATCACCTGTGGTGCATCCTGAGATGCTAAAGGGCATTCTTTTAGCCCCCATCCTGGGCCAGGACCCTCAGCTCCCCACTTTATCTATCTTCTAACATGTCTCTCTGTCTCAGAAAGGATGTGGTGACAGAGGTAGGTGACCAGCTTCTCCACTTCTTTGTAGCCTGAAGCATGTGTCCAAGCTGCAGGGTACCTGCAAGAAGATGCAGCTGCTGAATGAGCTGATGGATCGGGGTGGGAACTACGTGGCTGCGGCCCTGCCCTTCATTGTTTCGCTGATGTCACGTGGTCTGTCCAATAGAGCACTGCTTGTGGCTCACTCCTTGCCCCAGATCCCTGAGGTAATTCAGCTTGGCAGTGACATTGCATCCTTTGCAACACATGGAGTCTTGTGTGTCTCTTGTGGCAGCCCAGGGAGGGGATCCTCGTGCACTGGGGAAGGAGACAGGCCTGTACCTTTTGCGGGGAATACAGGACCTGGGGCTCTGCACCAGGGTGTGGGGTGCAGCTGGATGGCTTGATCTGGGCAAAATTCCTAGCCCAATAATGTGGCAGGGTGAAAACAACTTTTTTTTATATCAGGGAGACCTGTTAGGCTTTCCCTGTCTGTGCTTGTCCAGGTGCCTGGGAGCATGTAGCAGGAGGTTCATCTGACAACCCAATATCCTGGTACCTGCTGGTCCAGCAACCTCATCTCTCCTGCTTCATGTTCCCCATTTTCCCACAGTGGTCAATTGATGCTGAGCCCCCAAAACACAAGGATGTTGGGTCCCTGACATTTGGGCTCCTGTTTGTTCCCGAGTTTGCTGTCAGCACGCTGGAGAAGGGACCACAGGCTGATCACCCCGAGGTGAGGGGAGCCGTGCTTGTGCCAGACTGGGTGGAGTAGAGCTGGTGCTGTACTGTTGCACGTGGCTGCGGGGCTGGTTGATGGTCATGGGAGTGACTTGTGTCCTTGGCCTGGCTTGGTCAATGTCTCCCCGCAGGCCCAGGAGTTCCGGACCTTCTGGGGAGAGAAGTCAGAGCTGCGGCGGTTCCAGGATGGCAGCATCTGTGAGGCTGTGGTGTGGGAGGCCAGCACTGCCTGCCAGAAACGCCTCATTCCTGAGCAGATCGTCAAGCACCTGCTGAAGCTGTAAGTTGCACTGAGCAGCAGCTGAGGCCAGGGGACCTGCAGCTCTGGGGGGGTCACTGCTGCTCTCCTGGCTTGTGTCATGTCCCTGGTACCCCCATTGTCAGCTTCGTGCTGTGGGGGATGTTGTGGGTAATTTTGGCTTTGTGAAACCTGGAAGTTGTTTCAGTTGTCCTGATGCTGGGAGCTGCTTCCCAGGAGCAGGTGGGGTGGACAGGCATTACCTCTGCTTGAAGGTCACGCTAAAGGCAAGGAGGCTGCATGGTCCTACCCTTACATGCAAGTGGGATGACGGAACACTGGTTGTCAGAGCTGGAAGAGAAGCTGGCTGAACCTTGCAGGACATTTCATGAAATCCTCTGAGCCTTTCTAGTGGTTCACAAAGTTGGGTCTTCCTATGGCATTGGAAAGCCTCCCTGTAGTTTATAACATCAGCCAAAAATGAGACCCTCTTGCAGAGAATGAAGGGGTGTGCCTCTTTGTCCTGACTTGAGGATGGGTCTTGTGAGGAAAGGCTGCAGGTTGATGGCTTTGGCTTTGAATCCTGTGAAGCCGCACAAGTTGCTGGGCCGCTTTGGGTGGATAACTTGGGCATGGGAGGAACGCACAGAGATTGGGCTTCTCACCAGGACCTTCCTTTATAAAGGGATTTCTCATCCTCGGACTGACCCATGCCTGTGTAGCATACAGTGTCAGGATGAATAGGTTGACGTCGTAGCTCTAATGCTCTGTTGTCTTGTTCCACATAGCCATGCGGACATTCCCGAATCCTCTATCTGCTACGCAGGAGCCCTGCTGGAATCTGTGATCAGGACTGGGCAAAAGGTATGGTTGCTCCCCCAAGTGGGGCTGGGGCTTTCTCCAGGAAGGGCAGTAAGGGGGAGGCTGTAGGGAGGTCATTTTGGGGGCCCCCAGGGCAGCTGGGTGGTTCCCAAGAGAATGTAACCAGCCTAAGGAAAATTCCTGCCTGTGGCTGCTTTGGTTAGGAGCATGGTGCTCTCCTTGGATCTGCTAAGTCTTTCATGGCAGCTGAGATACAGTTGGTGAAATCCTCTTGCTTTGGCATCCCCCACACCTCATTTTTCCCTGCAAGCTTCCCACTGTCCTACCTTCTGCTTGTTTGCCCTCTGTCCACATGTCTGAGGATATATCGCTGTCCCACAGTGCTCTTCTGGCTGCACCTTTAAGGTCCTATATCCTTCAGGACATGGGCCAGGCAACTCTGTGCCTTCATCCCTTAGGTCCAGGTGGGAAACCCAGGAAAAGGATCCTTTCTGTCAAGGAGCAAAGTGTTAGATCATGCTGCAGCTGAATGTGCAGCTGAAACAAAGAAGCTTCACTTTCAGACAGAAAAGATGCATTTTGGAGGCTGGGAAATGCCCCTCTCCCAACTTCTGTTCACCAGGTTGTAAAATTAAAGCCTGGAGATGAGCCATGAACACTTTGACACCACTTAGTTGGTGTCACTTTTATAAAACAAGCTCTTTATCTTGTCGTTGGATGGAGAAAGAAATTGTTTCCTTTCCCATTTTTAAGATCAAAGGGGAGCAAGTTTTGTGGAAAGAATCTGCTGTGCCAGGGACCAGTTGTGGTCTGGGCAGAGTGGCGTGTCAGATTTGGGATGAGATGCTGGTTTTCACAGCCTATTGTGTGATGAGGTGGGGAGATCCATGTGTTGCAAGTCCCTTCCAGCAGATGAAGGAAATCCCTTGAAGCCCTGCACAGGCAGGAGGGGATTTGTTGTTCGTGGCACACCCTGCAGAGGGTGCTGCTGCTCTGCTGGAGAGCCCAGGCTGCACCTGAGCTGGTGCTTTGGTGTCAGTGATGTCTCCTCCCTGTGCAGGCCCCTCTGGTGTGCTTTGGGGAGATGGAAGCAGCAAGAGCAGCAGCAATTTTCCTTTCAGCGCTTCTCATCTGCCCTCCCCAGGGCATCCTGTGATGCTCTGGATATTTTCTCTCTTTGCTTTTGCCATGCTTCAGAGCTTCACCTTGGGTAAGGATGTAGTGGGTGCAGTTTTCTGTTAACTGCTGCGTCTGTTGGCACCGTGGTAACTGGTGGGGAGACAGTAGCAGAGCTCTCACCTTGCCAGTATGTGATCTCTTTATTCCCAGATCATTCTTGGTGTCTCCTTTCCTAAGGTGATTGCTGGCAGTACAGCTCTTGGTGCTGCCTTAGTGTCTTGCAAAAGAAATAGTTTTGCTTGCCACTGGAAACACAGCCTCTAGGATGCCTGTGGCTGCTGGGGGAACCACAGGCACCCTTGCTCTTGTTTTCCCTCTCTCTCTTACCTCCTGATTTTGCTGAGTGCCCTCAGCAGCCGCTGCTCCCTGGGGTGGCAGTGCTGGCTCCTCAGAGTGTGGCTGCGATGCCGCTCCTTCCCACGAGGGAGATGAGGTGGGTGGGAGTGAGAGCAGTGGGTGCAGAGGCTCCCTGTGTGTCCACAGGCATCAGGGATGGGCGAGGAGGCCATGGTCAGTGTCGTCTGCTCCTACGACGACCTGAGCCGCAAGCTCTGGAACCTGAAGGAGCTGCCGCTGACGGTGACGGCTGTGCAGGGTGTCCACCCAGCCCTCCGGTACACGGATGTGAGTGTCCTGGGCCGTGGCTGGGCGTGGGGGTCTGCAGGGAGTGGGGGGTGTGCCCTGGGGTGGGGGAGGACCCACAGAATTAGTCACTCTCTGGTTTTGTGGCTCCTGAGAGCTCCTGGGGCAATGCGGTGCCTCTTCTTTGCTGTTCCGCCCATTGGGCCAGCTGTGCACAGCTGACTAAAGCCTCTGTGCTGGAGGGCTTTGCTGGGGTGGGAGGTTGGAGTGAGGGGATGCACGCTGCCCTGAGGTTTCTGCTCCCTGTTCTCAGTTGCTGGGTGGCTGTTCTCTTTCAGGTCTTCCCTCCCATTCCCATGAAGCCGATTTATTCCTTCCATAACCTAATCAGAATCAAGCACTTGCTGCTTCCTTCGACAGAGAAGCCCTGCCCAGCCTACATAACCCCTTTGAAGAGTAAGTGGGGAGAGATGTGAGTGGGAGATGACTTGGTGGGGGGGAGTGGAGGCAAGCAGCAATACTGGCTCTGTTATTGCTGCAATGGAGTGCTGCAGGCAGGAGCAAAGTCCTGGCTTCTGCTCTCCTGCTGTAATCCCTAGTTCTGGACATCCCTATTCAACACCTGATTTCTGTGTGGGACTCACTGACCTCCTGCTATCCCTTTGCCCCCAGTCATCTGCCACATGGAAGGCAGTGGCCAGTGGCCACAGGACAAGGAAGCCATTAAGCGTATCAAGGCAGCTTTCCACCTCCAGCTGGCTGAGCTCCTCTGGCAGCAGCACCAGTTCCTTTGCAGACCTGCAGCCACCCACACTGATGTGTACAAGGTAGGGGGCAACCGGGACCTTCCCCAGACCTGATATTACCGAGGAAGCAGGTGGGGGGGCTGTGGCAGTGGTCCCACTGGACAAAACCAGGATTTGGATGGTGGACCTAGGAAAGAGTGTGTTGAGATGGCACTGATGTCAGGATGCTGCTGTTGTATCCCTGAGGGGCAGCATAACACATAGCAGCCTGCTTATGCTACCACCAAGCCTGACTTCACCTTGTGTCCCATCTCAGGATGGCTACGTTTTCCGTCTCCAAGTAGCCTACCACCGGGAGCCCCTGATCCTGAAGGAAGTGGTCACCCCGGAAGGGTTGTTGAAGTACCAGGACACAGAGGAGTCTCGTCAGCTGGAGTGGGAGACGTTGCATTTGCCCTATCTAACCAGCTCTCTGCATGGGTAGGTGAGGCAGAAGGTGCCTGAGGGGTCAGGATGTGGGATGGGGCTGGAGGCCATCGTGGAGGTGCCCTTGGATGCTGGAGGGTGTTGGTGGGTAGAGGAGCTGTGGGAAGCGGCCCTTAGCCCACTTTGTGGGAGGCTCTTTGGGAGGGTGAAGGGATGAATGTGGGTGTGAGTGGCACCAGTTGTCACCCTGAGGTCATTGGTGCAGGGAGACAAGTATTGAAGAGCAGCATGGTTAGACAGGAGCACGAGGCAGCATTTTCCCTTTGTTCCCGTCAATGCCTGGAGAAAGTGCCCTGTGCTTATGATGCTGTGTACATGTTCCTGGCATATTTTTACCCCTCACTTCTTCCTTGCCGAATGCCAAAGGGTCCTGGGGTGTGTGGGTTGAGCAGTGGCCTCTCTCCCTCCTTGCAGGCTCCAGCAGCAGCACCCTGTCTATGGCAGCACCTCCCGGCTGGCCAAGCGCTGGGTCAGTGCCCAGCTCCTGAGTGACAACATCTCTGAGGAGTGTGTGGACCTTCTCGTGGCGTTTCTCTTCCTCCACCCAGCCCCTTTCACACCACCCAGGTGAGGATGAGGAACCCAGGCTGGCATGATGGGGATTTAGTGCCTTTTTCCTTACCTGAGATGGGAGAAGGATGGGATGCTGCCACAGCAGGAGGTGTTGGGAGGGTTCACATCAGGGAGCATGAGGCCCCTGTGCTGCCAAAACGCCGTCCCAAGCCCTGTTGGGAATGGCTGCCAGAGGAGATGGAGATGCTTGGCATTGCAGGACTGTGGCTTCCCCTGCCCTTTGGACTGTGGAAAAAGGGGGGAAGCAGGAAGGGATGGGAGTGAGTGTCCTTGTGTCCTCTTGGTGCTGGTGCCACAACTGCAGGGTGTCTTGTGCCTTCTGGAGGACTGGTGAGGCCTCTCGTTCTGGGGGTGATGGCAGGGGAAGCAGGGTGGGGGCTGAGTTGTGGCTACCAGCATGTTGGGGCTCCCGAGTTCCCCAGGAAGGATGTTATGGTGGCGCTGGTGGCTCCAGCCTCCCTTCCTCCTGGAGAAGACTTCCAAGGGAAGGACGAGGGGTCAGCTACTGAAAGCTCAGTGGAGCAGTGTGTTGGTAAATAAGCTAATTGCTTGCTGGCCCCTGGCAGATAGATGTTAGGGGGTCCAGAGGAAGTGAAATGAAGTTAAAGGAAATGTTTTTGTTCTGTACGGAGTCAAAAGGTTATTCTGCCCTGCACTCCAGGTCCAGTTTCCTTTCCCAAAGTAGCAGGAGTAACAGTCTGATGCCTAGAATGCTTTCCTGTCTCCTAAAATAGCAGGAGCCCCATCTTCCCAGCTGCCTGGCTTCATGCACGTGTTGTGTTGTTGGGGGAAGGCACAGTGGGAACTTGGCTGGTGTTCAGACCTGCACCAGAGATGGGAGCAGCCCTTTCTCCACCTCCTTCTTGTTCCAGACTCAGGAGTCTGGATGGGGAGGGCATCAGGAGATGGGGCAACCTGGAGGCAGTGTTTTACTTTCTGCTTGTTTGTTTTCCTTGGGGAGAGAGGAACAATGCGGAAAGGCTTTCCCTGGGGATTTGGAGAAGGGAAAGTGTCTCAAACTTGTCCTGGACTTCTCTTTCCCACCATAGACATCACTTCTTGGGCTGCATATGGGCTAGGCATTCAGTACCCCCAAGCACAGCCGTTCTTGCTACCAGGAGAGCAAATGCCAGTGTTGAACTGTTTTGTTTTGCCTGCAGCTCTCCCCAGGTGGGGTTCCTGCGCTTCCTCAACTTGCTGGCAACCTTTGACTGGAAAAACAACCCTCTGATTGTCAACATAAACACTGGCCTAACAGGTGAGCAGGCAAGAGGTAGGAGAGCTGCAACATGAGGGTCTTGAGCCCTCCTTAGTCAGTGCCTGGCTCCAGGGATCTTGGATACAGGGAGGCATCACAGCTTCTTCTGCGGGCAAGGAGATTTTCCACTCTTACTCCTGTCCTGTCATGCTCAACTTGGCTACAGGCTGGGTTTGGTTGTGGTGTGGGGTTTCTTTTTCCCTTGCCTGCCTTTGAAGAAGTGGGTCTCAGTGATGATGCTCTTTTGCTTCTGGTCTTATTGAAATCTGTGGCAAGCCTGGGTGCTTTTGGATGTCGTGTTGTCTTTGAAGCCCTGTTTTCCTGCCCTCATGTGTTTTGTCTGTTGATCATCTTTTGGATACATGCCATTTTTCCCCAGGAGCCAGCAGAGACCATGAGATTTTCTTGGCTCTGCATAGTTATGGGGTGGGGGAGATAGCTACACACGGCTTTTAAAGCTGATTTATAAAAAAAGGTAAGGCTGCTTGGGAAAGATTTGGGTTTTGAAAACTGATACTTTCCAAAGCACTCTCCAGCTTTTTTTTCAGTGAACTAAAGAACTATTTTTTCCTCTGCTTGAGGGGAAATAAAAACCAAAAGATAGAACCCTTGGAGTTTGGGTACAAACTCTGTCATTAGCTTACAACATGAGTTGCCAGCCTGTGTCAGTCCCAGTACCTGCCATGTCTGAGTGCACCAGCGTGGGTTTAGAGCTCAGATCCATCTAGAGCTGCCTCCTGGCTCCAGAACTTCCCACAGGCAGGTGCCAAGGGAAATGTGAGAGTGGAGCAAGCCCGAGGTGAAGGAGCTCTGGTTGCACATGGACTGTGGGATCAGAGGGTGGGAGAGGATAAAGCCTGTTGTACTGCCCTTCTCTGGGCTGCAGTAGATGGGCAAGGAAACCGGAGGGCTGTGGATGGGGCAGAGCATCTCACCCCCCTGCCTGCCCTCTCCAGACACTGACTGCACAGAGATCAAGAACAAGTTTGTGGCTGCTCGCTCTCGCCTCCCTGTCATGTTCATCGCCACCCCCAAGGACCAGTGGAGCTCCATGTGGACCCAGGACCGACCCTCGGCGCAGGTGAGTGGGGCCCTTTGTCCAGCCCTGTGGGCAGTTCCCTGCTCCTGGTGCTGGAGCCAGCTCTGGCAGCCCTGTGAGTGGGCAGAGCCCCTGCTACATCCAGGACTGCCGAGTTTCACCCTCTGGCTTTCTTCCCTCCCCAGATCCTGCAGCGCCTTGTCGTGCTCGCCTCGGAGTCTCTCCGTGCCCTGGAGGAGCAGCTCATGGACCCACTCAACAGCCAGGATGTGAAGGTAATCCCCTGGGGCACAAGCACAAGGGTTTCTGGGCTCTGGCAAAGCATCCTGGTCTTTGGTGGTGATCACTGGGATGTGTAGGGAGGATTCAGGCTGTGGCTGTGCGGTTGCCCTGGGATGAAAAGCCTCAAGGATGGGAGGATGGAGCCTGGTGCCCTGCTTTGCCACCCTGCTTCTGGGGGACCCAGCTCTGCATAGCAACTTGGGGTGACTAGGACACAATTATTTTGTATTCTCTGGTTTTCTTGGGACATGAGCAAACCCACGATGTTCCTGTGCCAGATCAGTCGTGTTCATGGCCGGATCGAATGGTTCCTGTGGAAGACTCTTGGTGTAGTTGGCAAATCTGGCTTGTGTGCTTGAGTCCAGCCAGGCTCAGGGTGTTGGAGGTTTTGGCAGGACACCAACAGGCACTTCAGGAAGATGTTATTTTGGTTTGAGTGGAGGAGCAAGGCCATAAGTAGTTTAACCCTTTTCAGTTTCTCAGTGATTTTATTTTTTAAGTGTGTTGAAACATCCATTACTGAAATGGACCTGAGAGATGTAGACATATTTATTTGCCCTTTCAAAGGAGATACATGTGTTTTGAAGGGTAACTTGTTGGTGTACCAATTAGTGACCCAGGCAATTGAAGCTCAAAGAACTAAAAAAGCCAAACAGTGGTTAAATATGACATTAGGAAAAAAACAAACCAAAATCAAAAAACAGCACATACAGTGGATTTTTTTCTGCTTATGCAATATAAAAAGGATTTACTGACACTACTTTCAGTTCTGCTGCATTTTCCACTGAAAGTATTAAGTGTGACTCTACTTCAGGCAGTAGGAGTGTATTACAGGGCTATGAAGGAATGAGATGTGTCCAGTGTGCTGCAGTCACAATGCCGACCCAAAACTGAAAATCAAGAGGTGCACTGTGAGCTTGGAATGGTGAGCTTCTGAAATGAGCTGTCACCTGTCCATAGCAGCCTTCCAACACCTTGACTTGGCCTCCTTGGGCCTCCTCCTGTCTCCCTTCCTCTTGGCTGCTGCTGTGGAAACTGTTCCCATTCCCAGGCTATCCATCTGGTCCATGCCAGTGTCCTCCCATGCCTGTGATGTTCCTTAGGGATAAACATAAGATGTTGTTTCCAGAGCTAGTAATCTATTTGTAAGCAAAGCTTGGGAGAGGGAGGAGAGAAAAGCCTTTCTAGTTTTGGAATTGATTCCTTTACCCGTGTACTTAAGAGGATGCTCCAAGTTGGCTTCCTGTCTTTGCTTTTGGGTCAGATGGGGACGTGCCCACTCTCATGCAGATGCAGACATGGGTTTATGAGCTGTTTCTTTGCTCCCAGGGGACAATGCAGTAAGCCATGGACTTTGTCACCTGGGTGGGAAAGGGGGACTGTGTGGACTAGACCTGAGAGTCAGTGCTGGTCACTGATATTCTTCATGTGTGTTCTCCCCAGCCTGGCTTTAAACCAGCTCTGAGCAGTGGGTTTTCTGCCAGTGCCAAGTTGAGCAGTGTCCCACGCCTCTGTTCATGTCTCTGTATCATTTGTTCCACAACAGTGTACACATAGTTTTAAGTTTTTTCCATTTTAATACAGCTGTATCCACAGCTAGATCCTGCCTGTCCAAATATTTATGTGTCTGGGATTGCTCCCCTCCATTAATGGGGCTTGCTCTCACCCTCTGTCTGCTTGATGAAAGATGCTGCTGCCCTCTGGGGCAAATGGTGTTGGACAGATGGGACCATCCCTTTATTACACAGCTCCTCATGTCCCCTGGGTGTTGTTTGGCTCCTGTTGGCTTCTTGACTCCCCTCCTCATTCTGCGACTCTGCCATGTGCAGCGGAGTTACCTGTTTCAGCTCACCTGTCTGTCCCTCTCTCAGCTGCCCAACACAGTGCCATGTCCTCAGGTGGGCTTCCTGGGGTCTCTGGCAAACTTCTAACATTAATCTCACAGAAGTTATGTCTTTGGTTTACTGCTTTCTAAGGAGAAGGGCATAAAATGCAGGCAAGGACTTGGGAAACCTCTCTCATCTCTCCTGCTCACCTGTGTCCTACATTGAGTGGCACTGTTCGTTTCTCCTTGCAGATGGTCTTCCGCCCTCCTTTGGACTTCTACGATGTCCTAATTCACCTGAATCCAAAACAGATTCCTCGGCATCTGGAGAACGTGGACCGGCCACCAAAATCCTTTTCCCGTGGTGTGGTGAAGAACAGCACTGCCGTGAATATCCTCTTTCCTGTGGTGGATTATGACCCTGTGCAGTGCTACCTCCGGGAGCTGAGAGTAAGCAGGGCCAGTGGGGGAGGCACAGGTGGTACCTGCCTGGGGGAAGCTGCCTTCTGGCGTTCAGCTTGCCTGCCGCTGCAGGACGTGGTTGGTGACACCTTCAGGTATTTTGTGTGGGATGGTCATGGCTTCCTCAGCGGAAGACCTGTTGAATGCACCACCCTTTCCATGGAAATGGGAGTGCTCCTGTTGTGAGAGTGAGCTCAGATACAAAGCACCCGGAACTTTTGCTGAAGAATATTGTATTTCAGCACAAAGATATCTTTGTGCAGCCATCTGTCTCCAGTCAGTTAATTGACTTTTCATAGCTTCTTGCACCAACTGGTGTGCATGATGGGCAGTAGCCCACATATTTTCTGGGGAAATGTGCAGGTAGCCATGACGTGATACCAGTAGGCTTCCTGCTGTTAGGCCAGCGGATGTGCAGCATCTGCAGCTTTGGCCCTTCCCAGCTTCAGATGTAGTAAACGTTAGTGTGCAGAGAGGTGGGGCTCTTATCAAAGCCTGCATTGATTTTTAAGTGCTATCATCCCTTACTCACAGAAGTCTGTGGGCAGTGTCAGAACTGTCAGTGTAGGAATCATAGGCTGGCTTTGGCAGGAAAGGTGCTGTGGAGGTCTCTGGCCCTGTTCCCCACTCAGGGCAGAGCCAGCTTTCACAGGCTGCACTGAACCCAGTCCTGTTGAATGACCACTGTCTCCAGGGATAGAGATTTCCCACCTCCCTGTCCCAGTGCTTGGCCACCATTGTGAATGTTGCCTGAATTGAAACTCCAGTTTTGGGCTGCAAGATTCTGGGCTCTTTCAGTTCAAGCTCCCCTTTCACCTTAACCAGGTAAGCTTAGGAGGTGGGCAAGGAAAGCTTGCAAGGGTGTCTTTGAAGGTTTCCTCATGCTGGGCACAGCCCTGTTACCTCCCAAACTCGGTGCCAGCTGCACTGCATGATAACCTGTGCCCACAGGAATCTGCTGTGGCTTCAGTAGAGCTGCCAGGTCTAGCAAGGTGCAACCTCAGTCCTCCTGTCACCCACAGCAGGTTTGGACAGTCTTGGATGGTGAGGAAGTGAGAGACAGGGATGCATGAAAGACCTCTTGAAATTGAGAAAGACCTCAGAATTGTCCTACAATGTCCCTGCAAGTAGCACTGCTGCTTTGGCTGGAAGGACATTGGGGTGAGGAGATGTCCAGTGCTCTCCTGCTTTTGAGAAGGAAGGTGGACCTGGAGGTCCTGCAGACAGTTTGTAGAGAGCACTGGGGGATTTCTTGGGGTCCGGGATATGGCAGAAGGAGGCGGAGAAGCATCCTGCACAAGAGATTTAAAAGGGAGCGGGAAGCAGATTTGGAACTGTTTGCTATTTCACTTTCTTTCCTGGTGTCTTGATCTGAGGAGTCAATACATCAAGACCAGCCTCCCTCTTTTATTCCATAAACGATGAGGGTTTGACCTTCTACCATGAAACCTCAGCCAAGGGGTGTAGATGTGGGTAGGAAATGCAGTTTCTTAAGCCTGAAATCCTTCTCCACATGGTACTGGAAGTGGGTTCTAGAGCAGAACAGAGCCTTTCAATAGCTGCCAAGGTGCTGGTGATGCCTGTATACGTGGGGCTGGAGCCTCTGTGTCTCTGAAGGGGTCAGGGCTAAGCAATCGTTATGGGAACTTGGCAGAAGGATGACTGCCTGGTTGAAGGAAATCACAGCTGGAGGCTGTTGGGAGAGCAGGCCCTTTGAGGAGACTGTTAACTGCTTGCATCAGGTCTGGCTGTAGATGAGGCAGTCAATTAGGAAACTCATAGGGGTGTGTTGAAGTTTATAGGATGGTTTTATGCTTCTAGACAAGTTGGTGTCAGTAAATGGCTCTGGAACTGAAAGGTATAGAAGAGACTTCCCTGGAAAGCAGCTTTCATTATCCTGTAGGCAGTTATGACTTACTTGGTCCAGTCAATAGTGACTGAATTTTTACTGCCTGTTTTTTCTAATACAGGTAATAATCAATGTGGAATAGAGTTTGACTGGGTTAGAAATTACAGCTGGTCCTAAATCCAATATGCCAACATCCAATGAAGAAACAAGGATATGAGCAAAGATCATATTGCCTTGTTAGAAGCAATGTTTATTCATTTGGTGTCTCTTGTTCTTTGAGCTGAGGGTGCTTAGGAGGGAACAGAGCAGAAACTGGTCACAGCTTTCTCTCAGGAGTGAGCTATGGGGTAGAGAGCCCGAAATCTGCCCCAGCATCCCTGTCTGGGGGGATTTTCCATGTCTTGAAGGCTCTTAGATAGATATGGCTTTGTTCCCTTGTGGCCATCATATTGGAGGTATCTTGCAATACCAGTTCCCTTGTAATTCACAGCATCCAGATCAGCGGTGGGCGGACCTGAAGGGGCTGATGAATATCTATTTTTCCAGGCGAACAGGTGTTTCTTCTCCTGGAATAATCACAGAGGTGGTGCTGCATGTGCTGTCAGATAACTCGGCCACATCCACTTGGGCTGGAAAGCCTCGAAAGCTGGTTTTGCACTGCAGGGCTACCAACAAGCTGGTGATGTCAGTAGAAGCTGCTCTGTCCATCAAAAATCATCTGGCTTTGTGTCTCAGTGTACTGATGTTGTTCCTTAAAGGCAAGACCTTTTCATCGACTTTGGCTCTGCTTGGTAGCCTCTCCATTCCTCGAGTATTTCTCCTTCCCTGGCTTTTGCTGCTCCTCCTTGTCCTGCAGGCTGGGATCCCTGGGGATGATCCAAACGCAGCAAGAAGTTGGTGCCAAAAAGGAGTGTGGTGACAGCAGTGAATCCTTGAGAGATTTTGGATGAGAAGGCAGTTGGACGCAGCACTGACTGGCTTTGACTCAGAATAATTTGCTCTCTCTTAAATAGCACAAACCACAGAACTGAGCAACAGGGCTGTAGCCATGGCTGACTGTGCAGCCCTGGTGGGTTTACAGCAATGAAGGGAGACATCTGTCACACAGATGCTGTGGGATTTTGTGTTCTGTGAGGAAACATTGCCCTTTACTGAGCTTTCCACATGAAATAGGGATTAAATGCCTTAGCATGCTGATTGAGTTGAGAGGGGCAGGGAATAGCTTCTTCCCCAGCGTCCTTAGACCAGTAACCAGGAGATCCACTTCTCTCCTGTCCAGCCTGTTTGTCCCTGTTCTTCTCAAGTCAAAGGAGTTAGCAAGGCAGGAATGCTCTGGAGCTGAAGGACTGCTGCATGCCTTCTCCAAGGAGCCTAATCAGAGGAGAAAATAAAGGAGAGTAGGTGTTGAGTCCTGACTGCTTTAATTTTTCCTGCTCCAAGGAGATGTGCTGCAGGAACTGGCCTGATTGAGTTGCTCTGGTGCCTGGGAGGCTCGGGGTAGAGATGAAAGGCTGGCTGTGGGATTCAGGCAGCAAATTCTTCAGTTCCAGGACAGATCTGATAGAAAAGGCCTGTTCTGTGAGTCTGTCCAGATAAGAAGGCTTTGCAGACAGACGCTCTTGAGGGAAAGCAGGTGCCAGACATCCCACAGAGAGGGCCTCCCTGGAGCTTCAGCCCATCACCAGCCTCCTGCCACTTACAGTCCAGAGCACTTGGTCAAACAACTCTGGGTTGGTTCCTGGTGGGGATTCCCCAGCAAGGCTAAGTTAAGTGTCTCAAATGTGGCTCCCATTGAATCTCCATCATGACTGCTCGTCTGTGTCATGGTTTTTGAGCTGCAGAATCCCCAGATATTTGCTGGGAACGTGGTGTGGAAGGCTTGGCCAGTGCAGCTTTTGCTCCAGAGTGGCTTGGGTGTCCTCTGGACTCAAGAGACACCCCAGAGGACACAGGACTTGTGGATATGCTTGCCATGCCTGTCTGCATCCATTCAGGAGCTCACAAAACCCAAAGGCTCTGGTCACCTCTCAGAGCTGTTTGCTCATGGTGGGGAAAATGGGATGAAGCTGCCTGTGCCATGTCCATCTGTGTGTGTTATGGCTGTTAACAGACCTCACATTTCTTACTGGGTCTTTGGTCTCACCAGGTCACTGATGTGATGGGCTGTGGTTCACTGAGATTTAGGTTTCTTGGGCTGCATATGCCTGAGGAAGAGTTTGTGGCAGCGGAGCTGCCCATCTTGTATATGTGAGATCTTTTCTGAGTGAATGAGCAGGAAAATATTTCCTGCTTTACTGTAAACATCCTTCCCTTTAGAGCAATGTTTTGCATTTCTTTCACCTTCAGACAAGACCTATCAGGAAGACTTACAGCCCTTTCCTTTCTTCCTCCCATGGTGTAGGAATGTGTATCTTGCTACTGCATGTTAGGAAGGAATTAATGATTCTCTGTCTCTTACAATATGTAAGCTGTGGTTATGGGATGTAGCTGGAACTGGTGAAATCTTTTCAGGGCAATCTGCTTCCTTCCTCTTTTGACTGGCAGGGCTGACTCCTCCTGTGGCGACTCCAGACTGGCAGAGATGAACTGAAAAGACTCTGTGGGCTCTCACAGTAGGGGGGAAACCTTCCTGTGTGGATTTGTGACCCTGGAGGGGCAGAGGTGGCAGGAAATCACCTGCTCTTAGAGCTGTAGAGCAACTGTGTGACCCTTAGCATAGTGCCCAGGGTTGACAGTGCTCCCTGCTCTGTTGGGGTGTGGTGGAAGGTTCTGTCTGTGTCACATAAGGTTGAACGTCAGGGCAGGTCGCTGTAGGATGACAAAGACCTGAAAGTTTTAACCACAAATGTAGTTGTTTGCTGGAAATAAGTATTTTTAATAGGGTTTTTTTACTGGTAGATTCCTTGCTAAGAGCACTTGAAATGCTCTGAGCACTGAACAAATGTTGATTGATGTATTTGCTATCTGAGCTGCTGTCGAACCAGGAAAAGCTACTGTAGGACACATTATGAGTGCAGAGACCTCCCTAAAAGGCTCTACAGGAGCTGTGATGCAATGAGCCTGATCTGTTGGTAGAAGCAGTGAAAAAATGAGTGGATGAATGGTAAGATAAAAAAAACCCCAAACTACCCCTATACAACAATGTAGGTAGTTAACTAGTGATGAGCACTTAGCTTATTGCAAAATCCACAATTCAGATGGAGCTGCTTAATCTGGTAATCCCATTTTAGAGCAGGGTATTGTTCTACTCACTACTTTTCTCCATCCTTTTCATTCCTACAACAAAGATGGTTCCTTACAGAGCTTGATCTAATCTTCTTTCAGATGCCATATACCCCTTTCCTGGACAATGAGGCTCCTCCAAATTGAAGCCCTGAGCTTGCAGGTCCCTGATGTCTCTGTGAGATGGGAACCAGTAGTTGTTGCTGATGGCAAGAGGGTTTTCCCTGGGCATTGAAAGCTGAATTGCAACCAAAGATACAGCAGCTTGAGAAGGGAGCAAGGGTTCAAACGCACTCATTGCCTTTTCTCCGTTTTTTTGAAACTTTCCCTTGAAGAAGGTGTTTGCAGGCTCAGACAAGCCCAGTGGCACTGGGCATGGAACATGGGATGTGGAAAGTGGAGTGAACTGTTTGCTCCCCAAGCCTCTGTATGAACAGAAGTGCAGTGACTAATTCACCAGACCCTTTTAATGTTGCAATTTCCCAAGAGCTGAGTGTTCATCTCCACAGCTCGGTGGGCTGGCTCGGGGCACTATGACATGGATGATGCTGGGAGCAGCACAAGTGCTGGGATTTTGAATGAGGTGCCATCCTTTTCACATCTGCCCTCTGCTCCCAGGCATCTGGGAAAAAACGGTGCTGGGTGTCAGGCCAAACAGTGGTTTTACTGGGAAATGATCTGAGCCTGGAAGGCTTTCTTTCCTGCAAATGCTCCTGGCTTCTGTCCAGCAAGATGTGTCTTGTAAAAAAATACCTTTCTTGTAAGGAGCACCGTGTGGCATTTGAGACCTCGCCCTGCAGAGTTGCTGGGCCTTTTCAGGTTCTCACATGCTCTGCTCCCCTTTGGTTCAGGAAGTTGCACACTGGCGGTCAGCGTGCCTGAAGCTTTATTGCCCTTCCTTGGGCCTTCCCTGCCTCCTGCTGCTTGCCCTTTGGCTAAACGAGGAGTCTTCCTTGTTGACTGGGCTCTGAGCTAAACCTGTGCTCTCAGCCTAGAAATGCCAAGGTGGGTTGCCTCTTTCTCAATGTATTTTTAGACAGTGGTTTTTCTAGCCAGTTTGGTGAAATAATGCCTTGACCAGCCTTGCCCCTGTGAAGAACCCATGGAATGAGATGAGCTGGCAGTTCTCAGGATCTTTCCAGCTTGATGACCTAATTGTGTTGCCCTCTGTTCGTGAGGGCAGCAGCAGTCCAAACTCAAATCTGTCTCTGAAGGTTGCAGGCACCACCACTGCTCCTTGCTCATCAGGACTGTATTCTTAAAGTGTCACCTCACTCTTTAGGATCACTGGTAACACCAACCCAGTCCGCCTTTTTTTCCTGCTGCAGTCCTGGTATGTCCATAGAAGACCTCTTCCAAGCTTGCCTTTGGTGTTGATTTTTTTTTTCATGCACATCCTCATGAAAACCTCAGGATACAGTGAAGCCAGCAAGACTTCTCTTTGTAAAAGCAGGGAAACCAAGGGAATGGAGGAGGAACCAGTGTCATTGTCAGGGAGCAGCTGCTTGGCTGTCTGGCTCAGCTGCACTCAAGGTCCATATCTCTAGGTATCAACATGTTGAGTGATGAGCTGTAGGGCCAGACTTTTGGGTTTGAAAAGTTGCTTGCATGCAGCGTTGTTTCCTTTTGGTGTGATGCTCTTCTGCCTCCTTGCAGCTCTGGGAATCCAGCTTGTGTGGACTTCAGGGAAGGCAGACTTGGCTTTAGTCATCTCTTTGTGTGAGATCTCTTTTTGATCTCTGCTGCCCAACACCACCAAAGGAGATGCTTACTGACACCACTGCTGAAACACTGGGGCAAGGAGGACAGATTCCTGCAGTGCCTCCATTGAACTTTTCGTCTCTTTGCACCTCCCAGAACTATGTTACTTAAAATTTCTACTGTTATGTTTCCTTTTCGGATGCTGTGTGCTGCCAGCTCATGGGGGGTTTATCTGGGAGAAGAAGGAGTTTTGGTACTTTGGTTGCAGACTGCAGAACTCAAGGTGAAAGGTCCTTGCCTGGGGTCTGTCTTTGCTGCCATGTAGTGGAATGTATTCTGGCAGGATTGCCTGCTGGCAGGGCCTCCCTCTTTCTGTCTGATGCACTGTGAAATCTTGGACATAGTTGTTGGACACCAGGAGGGCTCGGTACTGCCAAGTCAAGCTGATGGAAGACCATGGTGAGGGACATCCAGTGGGATATCACTAAGGGCGCCACTGTCCTAAAGCTGAATGCTGATTTCTGGGTGCTCTTGCTGGCCTGTGGGAGGTGTGGTGGATCAGGTTTCTGTCCTCTGAGACAGCAAGAGGCAGTGGTGAGATCTGCATGCAAAATTTGGAGGTAGTGAACTGTATCCATCAGGACTGGGGGAAAAGAGGCAGCAGGAGGCACCTAGGACTTGTCCATGGGCTGCCAGTTTCTTTCCTTGTTGGGAATCCACTGAAAGAGTTTCAGTTTTGGTCCTGGCTTGTGTGGAACTACTGTGTCTTCCTATGTAAGGAGACTGAATCAGGGATGGGCTCTGACTCTGGGATGTCTGGCACAACCTGTGCTTGTTTTCTACCCAGGATGCCTTCAGCGATCTTGCCATGTTCTTCTATGACAAGCATGGTGGAGAAGTGATTGCAGTTTTGTGGAAACCTTTGAGCTTTCAGCCTCAGCCTTTTAAGGTGAGTTTTTTTGCTCTACTTTAAGCTTCATATTACCTTTATGCCCTGAAAGTTTTAAAGGCTTTTTTTTTTTTTCTGCATTGTAATTGCTTTGTCCAAGTCTCATCAGCCCCAAAGCCCTTTGAGAAATGGAGCTCACAGTTCTGTCCCTTCTTAGAATGGGTGAAACCAAGACAGGGCTGTGTCCACAGTGCCCTCAGTCATCAGCAGATCTGAGAAGGGGACATGGACAAGCCCCAGCACCACAGTCATGGGTCAGAATGGAGCTCTCTGTCCTGGGTGCTGTTTCCTGCTCCCTTCCTGGAAGATGGGTGATGCATCATTTGCCAAAGACGTTTGGTGTGTGCAGTAGGCTCTCCCATTCTCGTGGCTTTGGGCATCTTACCCAGAAATACCCCACCCACAAGAAGCTGGGCTGGAATGGCAAGCCTAGGTCCCTACTGCTCAAAGTCTATCGATGCACACAACTGTTTTCCAGCTACACTGTGTGGGTTGGCAAACTCTAGAGGGTGGCTAAGCCAGATGTGAGGCGTGCTGGAGTGATTCATGCTGCTTTCTATGAAGGAAAGACGCAAAGAAACCGGTTACTCATGGCTCAGAGTTGGCAGCCCAGGCTCCTCTGCTGTCAATCTGTGGGTGATTTATCTCCCCTCTCTTCACGGCCAGAGGGCATTGGCCATTGAGCCAGGCTGCTGTTGTGAAACTTAGTTATTCACAGTGGTGAAACAGAGGAGATGCTTGCACTGAGCTGAGTGTGGCTTAATTAAACCATGAGGGTTTTGCTTCTCCCTCTGGTGGACCCAAAGATCTCTTTCCACTCAGTCTTGACACCCACCAAAGAGCAAAGCAGAGCCCAGGCAACTCTTACTCAGCGTTATGCTGTGGCCCCTTTTGCACACCCCGTGTGCTCTGCTTACACAGGCTCTGCCATGCATCTGCACACTCTTCCCATCTCCTCCATGCCCCTGGCGATTACTTTGGTTCCTCAGTCCATGCAGTCTTTGGACTGTGACTCCAGGGTAAGCCCTAAAAAGGGATGGAAGGGTCACTCTTGCACTTTGGTAGTTCTAATAATGAGCACTGATGGTGTTGGGAAGTGAAACTTGGGGAATTGGGTGCAGTGGACTAGCAGGGTTTGGATGTGACAAGGCAAGAGAGGAATTCTCTTATTTGGGGCTGGCAGAGGTTGCAAAGCAACTCTGAGCAGGTGCTCCCATTTCTGCAATATTTATGTGTGTCCCACAGGTCTCCAACATGAAAGGAAGGAAGGTGACAACCGTGAACAACGAGCTGGTCTGTGTTCCCAACGTGGAAGCAATTCTGGAGGACTTTGAGGTTTTGGGAGAAGGCCTGGTCAAAAGTGTGGAAGCTCGTACAGAGAAATGGACTATCTAAGACCACTGAGAGGTGTCAGAATGGCCTGTTCTGAAGCAGTTTGTTCACTCTGGGACTGTTCCTTTTCGTAAATCAGTCCTGGACAAGGCTTTTAGCTTTCTAAATCCCAGAACTGTTTTAACTGTATTTATCTTTATATGCCTTGTTCACAAAAAGCAGTGGGACCTGTTATTGTTTTCAAGAATATAAATACCTTTTTATTTTGAAGAAGATATGAAGATGGGATAAAGTTTTTGAAAGTGTCCCTGTTTCATTGTAGGAATCTAAGCTATGTTCACATGAAAATGTCAAGGTCTGAAAATATGGCTGAGGTGTGCAGTGGGAAGGCAGTTTCCTAGTTTGGTAGGAAATTTACTGCAGATGCTGTTATTGTAGTGGTTAGCAAAACCAAAGAAACACAGTTGTTCCATAATGACCAGGTTATTCCTTTCTACTGAGCCACAGTGAGAAATTCTAATTAAAACGCTTTTTCTTTACTGTGATGGTGTTCGAACATCAGCACAGGTTCCCCAGGGAGGTGGTAGAGTCTCTGTACTTGGAGATACTCAAAACCCAACTGGACATGGTCCTGGGCAGCCTCCTCTAGGTGACCCTACGGTGAGCAGAGATGTTGGGTTATATCTCTCATGTGAAATGATCACTGGGACTTCTGATGAGGGAAGAGAGCAAATGGACTTTCCCCATCCCCTCCTCTGGTGAAGGCAGCACAGGTGTTCCAACAGCAAAGTGCAGGTGAATCAGATGTGGAGTAAAGAAAACAGACTTCATGACAGCAGATACTGCAGACACCAAAAACAGATCAGGCTTGGAAAAGCAGGGGGATGTACAGGTAGCCTGATAGCTAGGCCATTGTTGTTTGGTAAGGGGCGTTTCGGATGAGATGTTAAACGTGTCGCCTCAAGACCTACTGGCCTCTTCAGCTGTTGGCAGAGGGTCCAATGCTTTGTGGAGGAGATTTGCAACTTGTTTTTCAGATGTTTTCTCTGAAGCGTTTGAAAGTGGGCTGTGGCAGAGATGGGGCCCTGGGCTGGTGCTATCTACTTAGTGCCCATTGATTGGTGTTTGGAGGCACAGTGTGTCCTACGGGGCACAGACATGTGTGCAGCCTCCCTGGTTTTGGGATATATTTGCTATATTAAAATTACAAGGAACATTTTCCCCTCTTCCCTGTGCTTGTGGCTGAGGCAGGCTGCAGACAAAATCCATTGCCCATCCTTTGCTTGCAAGAGCTTTATGAGTACACCTAAACTGAAAACATCAAAAGCTCTTAGTGGGCAAAACAGATCTCAAACCTGAGAATAAAGTAGCACATTCTGCTTCTGCTGTGACCCCTGCAGCCTAGGAACCTGTTGACAGGTCCATTAGCAAATGATGCAGGCAGTGATTTCGACAGGTTTCAGAAGCAGCTAATTAGGGATTAATTTTTAATCTTCTCTTTGTTCTGCTTTATCATTCTCTAGATGTTGGAATTGCCCAGTCAGCCTTCAGCAATGGCTGTAATTTTCCTCAGTAGTTGGATCATTCTTGCTTCTCGTGTCCATTTGCCTTCACTCTGAACATGCAGTTTGACATTTGGATTCTGTGAATTTGCCAACACAACTGTTGGACAACATTTTGAGTTGCTGCACTGGTTCCTTGTGCCAGAGGTTTGCCTGTTCCCTCCATGTCCCATCCTGCCCTTGCTTTTCCCCCTGCCTTATGTTTTGGTCCAGAACATTCTCTTCACTGATGTGTCTGCTTTTCCCTAGGGCAGAGGCATGTGCTCGAGCTTGCATTAGCTCACAAGGGAGCTGATCTCCAGCCTTCTGCCTCACCAGGCAGGCTGGAAGGTCCTTTCCCCAGTGCTGTCATGGGATGCTTGGATCCCCTCACTGGCTTATTCTCTGCCTGGGAATATTTATAGAGAGACAGTCTCTGCTGTAATCCCCTTTGCCCTGTCCTCCCCACCCCAGCTCCCACAGTGGGGTCTGTGAAGGTTGTGCTTTGTAGGCATAGCCCTGCAGCACCTCTGCTTTAATCTGCTTCTTTTACACTGTTGGATGTTGCATTGCTACTCTTTTTCCTTTTTGCCTTTAAAAAGACATAAAACTTCTCCTCCAACCTTGGGTAAAATATCTCCGTGTGCAGTGTGCAGCAAAGGGCTAGGAAATGCCCAATAAATATCCATGCCCAATAAACTGACGATAAATAAACTCGTAACCAAACCCTCATGCAAGCACCAACCTGCTCGTGTTTCACAAGGGAACGCTACTGCTCAGCAACCAGATGTGAGCCCAATTTTGATGACAAATACTGGTATCTCAGCAAAAACCTTGTAATGAATTTACCTAAGACTGGCAAAATTACAGCACTTAGAGGGGATACATCTGTCAGCAAAAGTCACCCAAGTAACACATTATTGCAGCTGTGCTTTCAATGCTTGTATTGCCAAAGCCATGGCTGATCCACAGTCTCCTGGCTCCTCTTTCAGAAGAAGGATAATTCCTCATTGCCCTAAATCTCCCAATAGGTAAGGGCACCTTGGAGCCATTCTGAAGGCCTTGTTTATATGGTCAAACATTGCAAATGTTCTAGGTCATGTTTTATCATCTGCTAAACTCAGACCCTTGTGGCAATGCACATGGGTGAAGTCACCTTGAAATATAGCTGGAAGGCCTGGGGATCATAGAGCCATAAAATCACTGAATGGCCTGGGTTGGAAGGGACCTTGAAGATCATCCAGTTCCAACCCCTATGCCATGGACAGGGACACCTTCCACTAAACCAGGTTGTTCAGAGCTCCATCCAACCTGGCTTTAAACACTTCCAGACATGGGGCATCCACAACTTCTCTGGGCAGCCTCTTCCAGAGCTTCACCACCCTCACAGTAAAGAATTTCTTCCTAATCCCTAATATAAACTTACTCTCAGTTTGAAGCCATTCCCCCCTTGTCCTGTCACTCCATGCTCTTGTAAAAAGTCCCTCTCCATCTTCCGTGTGGGCTCCCTGCAGGTACTGGAGGCCACAATTAGGTCACCCTGAAGCCTTCTCTTCCACGCTGAACAAATGCATTTCTCTTAGCCATTTCTCATAGGAGAGGTGCTCCATCCCTCTAATCAACTGGGTTGCTCTCCTCTGGACACCCTCTGGATGCTCTTAGATGCTGGATATTGGTGTGCTCTGAACTTCTCGAGCGACAGTTTACCTAAAGCAAAATGCAAAGCACCTTTCTCAGGAGCAGAGAGTCCCTGTGCCTGTAAGGGGTCTGTAAAGGCAGGATCGAAAGGAAAGGGGTGTCTCAGGTATACAGGAGAGGACAAGTGAGGTCTCCGTTGCAACTTTATCTCTTGTTGCCTGATTTACTGCTCTTGTTGGTGCGCTGTGACTAATTTCTATTGTGAAAGCTGGGTAGGGCCTGGGTTGTTCAGAGCTTGCTTGTTTGACAAGTATGCTGGGCTTCCATTTCCAGAGCAGTGAGTGGGCACTCTCTTGCTTGCAGGTGTTTGCTTAGCTGTGGTCCCAGCCACAAACAAGTGCTGCACAAACACAGAGCTGCCCTGGGGAGCCCATGCTGTGTCATGTTGCAAGAGGTGGGATGAGGGGAGAGGGAGGGAAGCACCAGAGCTGAGGCAATAACAGTGGGCTTTGACGTGTTGCCACTGCTTCTGTGTTGATTTTTCAAAGCTGCCTTTGAAGCTCTTTATGGTGGGTCTCCTGTGCATGGGGGGTGAGCACAAGCAGGGAGGTGTTTCCAAATGCAAGACTGGGCTGGAGTGGTACTGGTACGCTGAGTGCATGGATGGAGTCAGTCAAGACAGAGTTCAGTGGTGTATGCTTTCTAGCAGAACTTTCCAAATGCTGGTGTGTCCTCCTGGGCCTTTACCTGAGCCACCCTTTGGGCAGCTTCCTCCTAAAAGGATCAGCTCATGCTTTGCAAGGATGCTCTCTGGAAAAGCAGTTTTTGGGAGTCAGCTGGTGCTGGCTCAGGAGAAGGGGAGATGGATGGAGCCTTTCTTCTGCTGCCAGACTCCTACTTTCCAGGCGCCCTGGAGAGCTTTGAGTGACTTATCACATAATTTATGAAAGGGAGGGGAGACAGTGGCACACAGCTGAGATGATGGAATGACGACATCAAGTTGAGACTTGTTCAGACTTTGGTGTTCAGCCTCTGGGGCTGCTGAGACCTTTTCAGAGGCTGTTTGGGGTCTCCATGGGGCTATTTCACTTGAGGCTGATCCCCTGAAGGCAAGAAGCACGTCTCCTGGAAATAAAGGCCTCTGAAGGAAGCAATTTGCTCAGGCACCCACAATTACTGGTGATTTTTGAAAACTCTTAGGTTAAATTTCCATGGCTGGCTAGGGAAGGAGTGATTGTCTTGAGGGGTTTTTTTTTTGGCACAGAAAGGGAATATCCTCTGTAGTGCTCCCACTGTGGCCCTTCTGCTAGGCTGGGGGATGGTGTGTTTGCTGGTGTTTCTGTCATCAGGAAAATGCTCTGGACCTGAAGTGATTTTTCCCAGGCAAGGCAGCGGCTTTCAGGAAGCACTGGTAGCAAAGCGGCTCTGGCAGGGGGCAGCTTTTGATGCTCACGGTCCACTTGGGAAAGGCAGAGTGGTGCTGCTCGAGGGGCGAGGGTGGCACTTGGCAAGTGCAGGGTGCACCACAGGGAAGGGAAAATCAAAGAGAATTGGGTGGGGGAACTGCAAAATGGGAGAAATCACAGAATCACAAAATCATGTGGTCTGGAAAGAGGCTGGGGTTTGACAGAAAGGACAGTTTGGCAGTGAGGGAAGCAATGCTTGTCACTGGCACCCCAGGGCCATGTCAGGGGAGCAGAACAAAACTGCAAGTTGCTCAAACCATATGAGCTGGCACAAAGATGCATCCTCTGATACTGTGAAGTCTTTGCACTAGACTGAAGGGCTAAAGGCTCAGCAGGCACCAGGAGAGAAATAAACATTGGCCATAAGCATGGTAGGGAGGTGCTGGGTAGCTGGTGATGCCATGGTGGGCTCTGGCAGAGGAATGAACTGGAGATGCATAAAGGATCTCCCCATTACTCCACTTTTCTGCTGAGCATTGTGACCAAGTTAGCAAACTTGCTGCCTCTTCCCCCCAGAGTGAGAGAGGGGGAATCTGCTTCTCAGGGCTTCATTTGCTGTCGTTAACGAAGGTGCCGAGGGCTTGTGTTGGCTGTGAGCCGGCACAGAAACACTTGTGCCTTGTGCTCGTGACTCCTTTGCTGCTGAAGGTGCCAGACAGACTGTTCCTGTTCATGTTGCTCCTGGATATGCGTGGGAAGTCTAAGGGAGGTGCCAGAAAAGGGCATGGCAGGAGCCTGGTACTCTACTGATTTATTGGCCTTGAGCCTCTCCCTTTTGGCTAAATCTCGTTGTTTCCATGCATATTGAAAGATTGAGGATCACAGTGTCTGGGAGGTAAACTACAATGGTGGCTCCACTGGGCTGTGAGTTTGTTACTTGCTGGCTCTTCCTGCCAAAACACATGGCAGCCAAGCTTGGTTTGGTGGAATGCTGAGCTGCTTCGTGTCAATGCAGGCCAAGACTGTGGTTGTGGGCTGGAGGTGCTGCCATGGGGTAACCCTGTGCTTGTGTGTGATTGGAGACCCTGGCCATGTTGCAGGGTGAGGGATGAGGGGCAATGTACTGCAGGTGGGCAGTTAGATCTGTATGGATAGCAGGGATCAGCAGACCCTGTCCTGGAGCAAAGCCTTTCCTTGGAAGGAAGTGCAGAGGGGACGGGTGATGGCGGCCTTTCCTTGGAAGGAAGAGCAGCAGGGATGGGTGATGGTGACTTTCCTCCATCCAGAGGGATCAGGACTCAGAGGGAAGGATTGCCTGGTGCAAGGGGTGTCCTACAGTGCATGGCTGAGCCAGCCCTCACTGTCAGGTCTTGTCAGTGGGGATTATCTTAGCTAAAGACTCAGCCAGGTGGAATAATTGGCAACCGAATCCCATGCTCCCTCCCAATCCTGCCTGGGGCTGCAGAAGGGTAACGCTCCTCCTGCAGCCACTGCACCAGGATCTCTTTCCTTCTTCCCTGCACAGTCCCATCCCAAGAACGTTTGCTTTCCCCTATGCCCTTCAAAGTAGACCTCCATGTCCCTCCCTTGCATGGTTATTAACATATTGCCTTGCCTTATACCTGCCCTATACCTAGTATTTATATAGGCATGCCTGCACCTTTTCTTTACTTTTTTGGGGGGTGCCTGGGTACTTGTTGTAGGATTGGGAAGTGCTGGGGAAGCACATGCCTTTCCCTGGAACATGTAGCTGGGGGACTGGTGGCCTGTGCCATGTCACCACTGGCCCGTAGGAAAGAGAGTGGGGCCTCCCCAGCCTCTGTCCCTGCAGCTCCTGCCCCTGGCCCCTTTTGACACAGGCAAATGCAAATCCCTGAGTGAATAATGCTCACAGCTCCTGCCCCATGACGGTGATGTTTTTCATCAGGAACTGAAATTTGTTTAGTGCCAGCAATTTGCCACAGCCCATGGAGAAGAGGCAATGAGATACTTTCCCTGCCCTGGAGCACTGACGGTTGGAGGCAGGTTGGATGAGACATGGAGGGCGTGAGCGGCAGCTGAGGAGGGAGCGTCGGGGGAGCGTGGGGTCTGGGGATGGAAATGGGTGGTACATTCACAGCCATGGGTCCTGGAATGGCCCCGGAAAGAGGGGAAGCGTGTCCATGTTGTCCAAGGCCAGGAGGATGGTTGGCAAGCCGCTACATTGTTGATATGGGCTTGCAGGGCCCCTTCCCCTGCCCTTTTCCTTGCCATGGACAAGGACCTCATCTCATCCCTCAACAAAAACATTCGAAATTGCATTTTGCACCCCCTGCTTGCCCCACTGTCGTGCTGTTCATCCCAAGATGGAACTATGTCACTGATGCTGCCAACACGAGGAGGAAAAGCGTTGGCCTTTTCCAAACCTGCGCTCCCTGTTGTGCTCACACCATTTCCACAGAGCAGCAGCTGTTCCCCCATCTCCCCAGGGGCAGGGTGGGGTGCAAACCTGGCACCTTCCCTGTAAGGCTGCAATCCTTGCCACCTGTATGTGTAAAGTGCTGTAAAAATGCCTTACAGCCACAGTCTGACAGCCTGGGGACATGGCTGCCT